GTATGTATGTATGTATGTATGTATGTATTTATTTATTTTATGTATGTGGGTCATTTCAGAATTGCGGGTACATTTCGCGTCTCTCTCGCTGCAACGGACCAACAGGTTCAACCTGGCGTCTACGTATATATGTCTATGGTAGCAATAACTGCTCTTCCGTACAGCAGCAGTCCATATAGTTTATTAAAGTTGCAAAACATAATCTATGCCAAACATTGTAAGATCACGATCTTGTTTGGTGTGTATGTTTTGTAAATCTACGGTCCACTATCACACTTCCGGTTTTTATCAAGCTTTTGATTGGCCAATGCAGATTTGACGTAACTTACGTAGGGGAACATGGCGGCGAAACTGCTGAGGTGACTTGTTGCCATGTGAAACCTCTCAGGTATTTGTAATTTGTATTTATCATATAGTTTGCTATAAATTAATTTAAAAAAGTCTGTATGGTACTTATTTGACTGCCTTCAAAATTTCCCACTGATTTAAGTGGACAACTTTCCTCTGAAGCACACTTTAAGCACTTTCAAGCTCTCAGTGAGTGCTAACTTGAAAACCACGCTTTCCTACTTTTTATTATTATTTTTGACTGTTATTTATTGGACTCGACCTGCTTTTGAACTTTTTAGTCGATATATTTGCAACATAGTAACTTTGCTGGAAGGAGTCGTGTAAATGCTTTGTATGAATGAGGAAATAATGCTTGGGCTCTGCTTTAAATCTTTTCTGATTTTATTTCAACTGTTCAGAAATGGCAGACGTTCAAACCCCCAATAACAAGGTGCTTGAAACACCTACTAAGAAGAAACAAAAGCAAATCTCGCATAAGCCCAAAAATACCTACTGCATTGTATGTCGCAAGTATTATCTTAAGCAGGCAAGTGGATTTGATTAAAACACCACACAGATATGCTAATTTCCATGCTCTCATTATTACAAATGAGGTATAATCGCCAAATGTTTTGACCTGCTTGCAGGATGCACTTGAGCATACTCATAGTATGCTGCATCACAGAGAGCTGGAGGCAGTTATGGGCAAGTGAGTATCTACTCTTTCCATGTGGGCTGCAGAAAGCCACACACAGCAAATAACACAGTGACAAAAAACAGACAATAAGCTTTACAATACTGATGAGTAGTGACTTTATACTGTGTGAATCCATGCTAAATTTCTGTCAAATCAGGGGCAAAAAATCTATGAATGTATATGGCATTAAAAGATTTTCTGCTCAACAAAACCCCCAAAGATGAATCATTTCACAATTTCAGATATTTTACCAGCAGCGATAAGAAAGGATCCATTTAATTAAATACAAATTAAGGACCCCTCTGCAACAGGACATTCTTATTTAACACAGTTCCCCATCCAGAATGAATCACTTTAAAAATTATGTAATGTAACGTTTCATCAGATATCTATAAAACGACTTTTGGCAACTTTTCACTGGTTTAGCTGTTTGCTGGTAAATTCATTCCAAATTGTGTTTATCTATTCTTTTTTGTATCCTCTCCTAAACAGGGATGCCTTTCATGACTGTCAGGCATGTAAGGCGTATTCTCTGGGTTTAAATGAATACGCACAGCACATCTCGACGTCTCAGCACAACGCGAGGTTGCAGAGCCTGATGGAAAAAAACGTGAAGCCCATCTCTCTGTTTAAGACTCTGAGTACGGAGATCATCAACCGCATCATGGAGAGGGACAAGGCCCTCAAGAAAGAGAAGTATGAATCTCACCTGCTTGTTTCTCTGGTATTTATCTTTTTCTCCACTCTCAAAATGTTCAGGTCGTCTGAATGTGCCTTTTTACAGGAAGAAAACGAGGAAGAGGAAAAAGAAAAGGAAAAAAAAGCAACAGAAGCAGGAAACTTGGCAGAGGTGTGTGGAAATAGATACGGGAGCCGTTAAAAAGAAAACTAAGGCATCTAAGGGAAAAAAGCAGGACAGGGTCATGAAAATGCAGGCGGGGGCGTCGGGACAGACGCAGCAGGCTCACCACTGGAGAAGCAGTTATGCTGTGGTTCAGAACAAGGAAAACAAAGTGATCAGTATGGCTACACATCTTCGCTTCAGTGAATCCCCTCCAAAGAATCAAACCGAGAGGCCATTTTACCAGCCAGGACAGTTTAGGGATCAGGATCAGCATCACCTGTACGTTAAGGAGCAGTTTCCTCCATCAGCTCACCATCTGAAGCTGGATGTCAGGTACTCTGCCACCAACTCGTGTAGCCGGGACGGGGCTGACAGAGCCCAGACAGACAGAGCTGGTAATCCCTCGAATAAGTACCAAAAGGATGGCCCGCACACGTCGGGGAAAATGCCTGTTCCAGCCGTCAGATATCCCGACTATCGCAACAGGCCTGATCACAGCGCAGCAGATGGAAACCTCAGCAGCCGGCGGCCCCCTCAGAGTGGAGCCCCTCAGCCAGAGATTCCGAGTAGCTCTGCTCGGCCCGGCTCTGCGAGCACAGCGGCCGGCGCCGCGGTTGTCGCCTCCGTGCTGAAGAACATCAGGAGGGCGCTGGGCGTGAGGGAGCCCTGCAGAGCGGACCGAGAAGCCCGTAAGCAGAACGGCGAGGTCCGTGTCCGGGCGTCTCCAGATGTGCCAGCTCCACGGGTCAGCGCATCGGCCGGCGCCGGTGTTTGTCCGCCCGTGAAACCAAATCTGACGGCTTCCAAAAAGACACAAGGAGGGAACCAGAACTCCCTCCTTGAGAAGAGCTCAGTGGCGGGAGAGGGACTGTCGAAAAGCAGATGGGGACCTCCTCATCCGTCTGCTGAGGGTCCAGCTTCTCTCGCAGGCCGGGCAAAATCCTCTGAGCCCGGCCAGAGCATTGCCCGTAAAGTCCGGATTGCCAAATCGCACGCCGCTCTGCACAAAAAGACAGTGGACCAGAGAGTGCTGGACAAGCTGCGCAGCTTATCAGGAGCCAGAAGCAAGTTAAGCTGGAAGGACATGTACTTTGAGAGGAAGAAGAAGAACAGATGTGAACCCAGGTAAGGCGCCACCACCACCGCCCCGTGAGGGGGGTTGGTTTTTGATCTTTGCCTGTTTGAGTTGCGTCATCGTATTCTTCTACAGGTTCGGGATCAACTTAGGAAACCGTCAAAGCGAGCGGGAAATCTGTGAGGGGGGCGATGAGCCGCCGCTGTCCCAGGGTTTCCACTGGGAGTCCATTCCAGACAGGCCTTCGTCCTCACACGCGACAGCAGATCCTCCAGCTCTACCAGCTCTACCACCTCCTCCAGCCCCTCAAGCCCCTCCAACCCCTCCAACCCCTCCA